CCGAACCGAACGGAACCGAACAGACTCGAACCGAACCCGAACGATTATATATTTATATTTGGACCCGACGGGTCCATTTATTAAATACCCGAAAGTTTTGGGTCGGTTCGGGTATCTTCAGAATCGAACCGAATCGACCCATGGACAGCCCTAGTTTACACACCGACTTATAGAATTTACACCCGACATTATTTCACACCATTTCTATGAAAAAAATACTTGTAATCCAACTACTCATCTTCCACCACATACGCATCAGTAAGTTAGGGTGTAACCACGTTCCGTACAAAGGACTTTAACTTTATTTCTTTCATATGATCCCCAGGTGTATCACTTAACATTAACAAAGAAAATACAATAGGAACTTCGGCTGTCGATTTAAAGTTGATGTTTGAGATTGATTTTGACTAATTTAGTCGACCAAATATAAATTTAAGGGTAAATTGTATTTTATAGCTTAATAAAAAGCATTTTGATTAAAAAAATATATTAATGTTTCTATCTTCAGCAAAAAAATGGCTAAGCCTATCTTTCTCTGATTAATTTCCTGTTCAAAGATTGAGCTAATAACAGGATCCTTTTAAACATTTAAGACTCGTTGCGTTTGTATTTCAAATTTAAAATTTGAGACCATTTCTAATTTTCTGTTTTGAGAGTCTATTTTAATATTATTAAAAACGCGTTGATTTGTCATTCTGATTTTAAAAAAAATTAGAAAATATTTTTGATTTAGAATTTTGAGAAATTTCTTTTAATGATATTTTATTCTATAAAATTGATTACTTCGTATTTTCAAAGATGGGATTGTGAAGAAGGTGAACAATGTTAACTCTTTTTTACTGAATTTTTTAAATTAAAATTGTAAAAGTTACCATTTTACCCTTTGTTGATTTGGTCAAAATCAGTTTTGAAGTCAACTAACGGCCAAACTAACAATTTCCATCAATATGAACTCCATGTGTGAATTTTTGAAAGATTTAGTACTTTGAGTGGCATAAATAAAATGTTTGGGTTAAGTCTATTATTAAATTGAAAAGTTTGGTACCATGACCGTAATTCTCACATTTTAATGCATTTTTGAAAATATCAGATCAAACGAGTTTAGGGTGTTTTTCAAAATAAAAAATAAAATGAAGACAGTTTTAAAAAAGCAAACGATTCACCCCNGATATCGTGACCGTAATTCTCACATTTTAATGCATTTTTGAAAATATCAGATCGAACGAGTTTAGGGTGTTTTTCAAAATAAAAAAAATGAAATCAGTATAATAAAGCAAACGATTCACCCCTATCCCATGTGGACGCTCCTAAGTTGACGCGAAGTCGTCAATAAATAGGATAGCGAGGAAAATTGCAAACGCATAAATAAATGGACTAATGCTGCTTAAATTTCGCATTACGTTACTGCCCATTTCATTAATAATTCTAGAAAGTTGACAAGACAACGGTTTCTTTTGATTAGACCTCTAACCCAATAAATTAATTTTTTAAACATAACCCCACACTCCGCCTGCCTTAAAGATTCTGGCATCTAACCCACCCTAAACGCCAAATAATTTCACCACCGCTGACTTGGTCCTTGTTTGGCTGCATCGAATTTTGTTCAATTTTCACTTATTTTTATACAAAGGGCTCGGTTTATTCACAACTTAATTAAAATAATTCGCCGCGTTCCTTCCGTTGAAAACAGAAAGGGTTTTCGGTGGTCACAATTAAGATTAGCTGGGGGGAGCGCGTTGAATGTTAATGCAATTAGTTAAAAAATAAAAAAATAATAGAAAATGAAGACATCCTTATTGTGAAGAGAGAGAAAGTGACACTTTCAGGAGAGAGAAAGTAAGAGAATCTGGTGGGCTTCGAGCTGTGATTTAGCTGTCCCTTTTTTCATGTTTATTTCTCTTTTTCTCTCACAAAACCCCACCCCACCTCTTCATCTCTCTCTCTTCAAAAGACCTTCACCACCACCCACAAATCTCAAAACCCACATCCCAAAATTCCCATTTTCAGATCTCTCTCGCTCTTCTTCATCTCACATTTTCAAATCAAGCATTGAAGGAGAAGAAAAACCCATAAACAAAGAGAGAATTCGAGCTTCAGATGTCTGCTGTGAGATGAAGGAAAAGAATAGTTGCATTGTATATTTTCAATTCGTTCTTTTACTTTTGCTACCTTTGTTTTCATCTCCAGGAGTTTGTTATGCTCATGTAACCCACCACACAGTCAGCAGCAATGGACCTCTCACTAATGCTGAAGCTCACTATATCAAGCAAAGGCAGCTTTTGTACTACAGAGATGAGTTTGGGGATAGAGGCGAGAATGTGACGGTTGACCCTTCACTTGTGTTCGAAAATTCAAGGCTGAGAAATGCGTACATTGCATTACAGGCATTGAAACAGGCTATTCTTTCAGATCCCCAAAATTTAACTGCTAATTGGGTCGGATCTGGTGTCTGTAACTATACTGGAGTATTCTGTGCTCGCGCACCAGACAACCGTACTATTCGTACAGTTGCTAGCATTGATCTCAACCATGGTGACATTGCTGGGTATCTCCCTGAAGAACTTGGCTTACTCACAGATCTGGCCGTTTTTCACATCAACTCCAACAGGTTTTGCGGTACCCTGCCGAAAAAATTCAAGAACTTGAAGATACTCTTTGAATTGGACATAAGCAATAACAGGTTTGCTGGGAAATTCCCTTATGTTGTGCTAAGTTTGCCCAAGTTGATATATTTAGATATACGATTTAATGAATTTGAAGGAACTGTGCCTTCTGAACTGTTTGACAAACCTTTGGATGCCATCTTCATCAATCACAACAGATTTGCCTTTGAATTGCCTGATAATTTTGGCAATTCTCCGGTATCTGTGATTGTATTGGCTAACAACAAGTTCCATGGTTGTGTTCCTGCTAGTCTTGGTAACATGAGCAATTTGAATGAGATTATACTGATGAACAATGGATTGAGGTCATGTTTGCCACCAGAGATTGGGCTTTTGAAGAATTTGACGGTGTTTGATGTGAGTTATAATCAGTTGATGGGGCCTTTGCCAGATAGTATTGGAGGAATGGTGAGTTTGGAGCAGTTAAATGTGGCTCATAATTTGCTTACAGGGAGTATTCCACAGAGTATATGTCAGTTGCCAAGGCTTGAGAATTTTACGTACTCGTATAACTTCTTTACTGGTGAGCCACCGGTGTGTTTGGCGCTGCCGGAATTTGATGATCAACGGAATTGCTTGCCCAATAGGCCGGCTCAAAGGTCTGCTGCTCAATGTCAAATGTTCTTGTCTAAGAGAATTCATTGTGGTGCTTTTAAGTGTCATCGGTTTATTCCAACTTTGCCATCACCTCCACCGCCTTCACCGCCAATGCCGGTGCCTTCACCACCTCCTGCCCCAGTGTTTATACCTACACCGGTCTCCAATCCCCCTCCTCCTCCGCCATCTCCTTCACCTCCGCCTCCGGTTTCCTCTCCACCACCACCTTCACCTCCACCACCTGTTTACTCTCCTCCCCCTCCACCATCGCCCCCTCCACCCGTTTATTCGCCTCCTCCCCCTCCTCCATCGCCACCTCCACCTCCACCACCTGTTTATTCGCCTCCTCCCCCTCCTCCATCGCCACCTCCACCACCACCACCGGTTTATTCTCCTCCTCCCCCTCCTCCATCTCCTCCACCACCATCACCACCTCCACCACCTCCTCCATCCCCTATTCCTTATTGCGTACGGTCTCCACCACCACCGCCGCCGCCGCCTCCAACTCCACATTCCCCACCACCTCCACTTTCGCATTCCCCCCCACCAGCTCCCTACTATTATAGCTCACCACCTCCTCCGTCAATGCAGTCACCACCACCTCCACCACCTGTATACATCTATGCATCACCGCCTCCTCCAGTACACTCTCCACCTCCTCCAACTAATTCACCACCTCCTCCAGTGCACTCCCCACCTCCACCTTCACCGCCACCCTGTATAGAACCGCCACCCCCACCTCCCTGTATAGAACCCCCACCTGAAGAGCAGCCACCTCCACCACCACCTTATGTTTACAAGCCCCCACCATCACCTTCACCTCCCCCGCCTTATCACTACAATTCTCCGCCCCCACCATCATCATCCCCACCACCGCCTGTGTACCACCATTCTCCTCCCCCACCACCATCACCGTCACCACCACCACCAGCTCCAGTATATGAAGGGCCATTACCCCCAGTCTTTGGGGTTTCATATGCATCTCCTCCACCACCACCGTTCTATTGATTCTTTGGAGAGTTTTTCTCTAATCCATCATCTTCGAAACACAATCCATGCCTACAAATGATTCCATTAGTATCCATTGCTGCTATTATTTCCTCACCTTTCACATCTCTGTGACTCATCCTCCGTCTTGAAATTCTCATCGCCCAGATGACAAAAATGAAAGATCAAAGTAGATATAAAATTAAATTGATGTTGAATCCGAGAAGAGAGGAGATAAAAAGGAGAAATTGGTCTCTCCCTTTATTTAATTTGAATTGTTATGGATAAATTTGAGTTGTGAAAATAAAGTGGCAGGCAAAGAGAGTAGGTTTGCAGGAAGTTTATGTATAGAGACCATAATCTGGGCGCTTGAAGAAAACAGTAATGGCTGCTGCTGCTTCTTCTAAGTTGTGAACTTCATTGTGATCTCTGTTTCATATCATACTTTTGTTTCATTTTATAGTATAATGATAAAACATTTACTTGTATTGATTTTTCATATTCAGATCATTCCTTAAACTTCTTCATGTTTGTGTAAATGTACTCAGCTTCTTCTGTTCATCCCACGTACGTACTGCAGAATCTGGCTGAAGATCATTGATCTTATTCAATGATACAATAAATAATATTATAGTTATGCTTTCTTCTTCAATTCTGTTAAATCTACGTCTTCATCTTCATCTCCAGTGCTTTAATTGTTATGAATTTGATTCCAAAATATGGTATCACCAGTTATTGCATGGAATGGAATGACGATGGGTGGTTGATCCTCGTGGGATTGGGACATGGAAGATAACATCAAAATCACACCATTAATTGGATCTCTCTCTCTCTCTCAGTAGTGTTTATAAATTACATTGATCACTCAACAACTAATGTAGATAAAAATTTGAGTACTGGTTTTGTTAAAATCAAATTTTTTGTAGATTTTAATGAATTTCGTTAAATTAATTGTTAATTTTGACTTAGGTTTTATCAATTTTTTTGGGGGATGTAATGACATTTTGACCTTGTGTGTCACATTAGTCTAGCGTCTTGGTAACTGGAGTTTGGGCTGTTTTTACTCCAAGAAAGGGGAAATTTGATGATCTTGATTCGTAAGAAATATTTTCAACAAAAATGACTAGTAAATGAAATGAAATAAAATGAAAATTCAAAAAGATCTCTTCTTCGACCAAAGAGTAGTAAAGAAGGAAAGTGATTATTTTCATTTTCTTGGGATTTCTTCTAATTCAAGTTTTTGTCAAAACTTTGCTTAATTCCTAGCATGCTGTATGGTTAGGGCACATGCCCCCCTTTTACCAACAAAGATGTACAGTTAGTTCATCAAACCAGTAAAAAGAGAGTGATAAGGTAAATTCATTTAGATATTTCCCCTCTAGAAGTTTTATGCACATTGAAGATGCATTACTGTGTGAAGGAAGCACTCCGCTACCAGAAACAAAACTTCCATGAAACATTACAGTCCTATTAAGAATCAAGAATTGTCTGAATTTGAATGCAAAGATCCATAAGTAGATTGATATATAGCATGAAGAATATGATAATCTTTTCAGGAGATATTAGATGAATCCATTTCTGGGATCTGTATTAAAGTGCAGTAGTTATACAACTGTGATTCTAGGACCAAAACTGCATTAGTGGGAAAAATATTGCTCAGCGTCTGTTCGATATTAGTGGCATTCTTTGAACTGGTCTCCATGAATGGAATGCCAATTTCATCTGCTAAAGCCTAGCCTTAGCTGTACCATATGACACAAGTTCAGTTATCAGCCAGGTCACACTTGTTTCCAACCAGAATCTTGTTTATATTTTCGCTGGCACGGCAATCAATTTCACGTAACCATTGCTTCACTTTGTTAAAGCTTTCTTGGTCACTTACTATTATGCCCCTGTTTGATGGCTATTATTTGCAAAAACAAAGTTTTGAATAGTGAATTTTTGGAGAATATGCGGTTAAAAAGTAGGAAATTTTTTAGATGTAAGTACATAATATTTTACTGTGTGAATGTGTGGTTGAAAATGAATACGTAGAATAAAAAGTTTTGAAATAATGGTTGTCAAACAAGAATGCCATGTGCCCCACGATAGTAGCTGCTTGTTATTTTTCTGAAACGTTCGTGTCCATCAGTATCCCAGATCCGAAGTTTTGTCGTCTTTCCATCTTGCTCCACAGTGTATATTTGTGCTAATGTGACTTTCCAGTAATGAAGCTTCCGAAAATCTCAGGAGAAGACATCGCTTGCCAACAAATATGATATATATGAGGAGGAGAACCCAGCAACAGGCAGAAACCAAAACGGCAAGCAAAATAATCCTATCATCCACAACCCGAGGCCAGTGAGCCCCAGCATCGAAGCACTGAAATGGATCAAGTTATAATGGTGGTCAAAGAGTCATATCTAGACATTGCAAAATGATGTAATTACTTCTATGCGTAGCCTGGAAATTTGAACAGACAATGAAAAATTCAACATCCAAGGTTAAAACATGTATTATGGAACTTTTCAGTGTCAGAATTTCAGCAGTTCAGGTCCCAAATGGAGTTTTAAGGCCTTAAAATTTTTTTCCCTTTCAGTATTTTTTGAAATTGGAACAAATGGTGCACAGAAACTGGGTGTAATGATAATGGGAAATTCAAAAGAATTCTCAAAAAACAATTCGTTCTCTCGCAAATATACAAGGTTTACACACTTTGACGTGTTAAGAAATATTACAAGATATACCATAGTCAGTATTCGCACCAGTAGCAAGTCAGTTGAATAACTTACTCCAACTCTGAAGAAGGTTTCAAGTAACAAAAAATGATAAGGAACCTAATATTTGGTTAGATCTCACAGCATATAACATTTGCAGATTTATTCCTCGAGGTTTTCAAATACTGATTTCTGAATAATTAAGAAGTAACTTGAAATGTCACTCTGTTCATGTCATCATGTTGAGAATTCTATTTCATCTTTGTTAACTCCATAAATGGAGAAAAATAAAACAAGTGCTAATGTAGAAGAAATAATCAAAAACCTCTCTCATATTCATGGAAGACAACTTGACAATCCATGGAAGACTCAAGCTGAGAAGAGGATCAAGAAAATGTACTTTAGAGTATCTCGCGGAACCTAAGCAACCGACTGACAAACATTCATTGTCAAACTAAGGAATGCCATTATAGTCTTTTTCCCCAAAATTTATGTTTTATCAGGTTTTTATGTGATAGTAGATCAAAGAGAAGTATGATCGAGACTAATTAGAAAGAAGGATAATGTAAACACGCCGTGTATCATTTTAAAGCTTATTCTTGAACCTTGAAGTGGTTCTAGATTTACGAATCTAAAGGAATAGCAGCTAAAATCAAGATATGTAGTTTTGAACTATCATCATATAAAGAAATCAATATCAAAACCCTAAATGATACAAGGTTTCTACAAACTAAGCATATCGAGATTATTCAAGTAATATTTTTCAAAACAACATCGATAAACATCGGATTGAAAGGTACAAACAAGAAAAGGAAACTGGTGATATTGCAGGAGAATACCTCTTCTCTTCAGAAGGCAGATAATCATACCAGGATAAAACATTCCAGTTTTTGATGGAATCGACAAAAACTGCCTAGACTATATATGTAGAAAGGAGTATGATTCTAATATCTTGGAAGTCTTCGACCATCACAAAATATTTCACATCAAGGTGCACGTGAGAATTCTACGGAAGATCTCATAAGCACGTATATGCTGAGAAGTTGACAGTAGTATGAGAACAACCAACTAAATAATCTCGAATTTCCTCTTCTTGAGGGATGATGAGATAAGAATGTGGGCAACATTTAGTGAGGAGGATAGCACTATCGAAAAGCAGAAATTTGCTTCCTGCATTATTGTGCATTTTGAGAAACATATATCCTGCACGATCAAGTAGCAAAGAGTTGGAGTTGTAAGCCAAACTATAGCCCCAAATATAGCTTCATCGATAACTCACCTCCTCTTGTGAAAACAAATTGCTCACGAACTTAGATGGAAAAAGAAAGATAAAAAGCAGCCCACAGAGTGAAAATCACCCACAATGCAACTCCTAGAATCTATTTTTGCGGATAAAACCCAAAAGCCATAACCAATGGCATTATGCTTCCTTCAAATAAGTGGTTCAAACCCTGAGTTCTCAACCTCTAGGAATAGCAAGAAAGCAGCAGATATCAGCAGGAAAGAGGGCAAGTCTTAAACTTTTAGGTCTATCCTAGACTCCATAACAAGTCATCATCAATACCAAAAAGGGGTTCAGAAAACGCAAAGGCCAGCAATGACTGGGCGTCGCCATTACCTTTATTAGACACATATCAAACACTGGTCATGCACAGCATTATTGAACATAAAACATAAATAATTTTTCATCAAATTTGAGATAATATGCTTTCATACAACGTAAAAGGGGATGTTCTGCATAGAAACAACAATAAATCGAAGCATGGTCTGGATAACTCTTTAACAGCGGAATGATAATAAACAAACTATTACATAGAGCTGAACATGATATGGTTCGATTCTAAAAATAATCGAATTGGACCCGAATTTTTGGATATTTGGAATCTTTAGGTCCAAATTTAATTATGAATCCATTCGATCCCCGGGTTTCATACCATAAATAAAATTTTTAATATTTTCAACAATACTACATTAATTCAACTAATAATATGTTCAATCTTAACTCTTACAAAATAACGTAATTTAATTTAAAATTTTACAAATAACAAGGTGGCTAATAAGATTCATTAAATAATGTATACAAATTATCAAAAAGTAAATAATAAAATATTGGTGATTTCATCTCATTGATTTGCTTCAAGCCTTCAAATATAGAAAAATCATATTTTGGGTTTGAGCTAAATTAATTAGTTGGCAAATAAAATAGGAAAATGATATTTTTGGGTTCAATTAATTAGTTGACAATTTTTTTTAGAAATATTAAAATAATTTGGCTTATTTGTATAAAAAATTAGAGAGATTCGGTTTTTATTCAATTTTTCACCA